CAATTAAAAAACAGGTGAACCAGTACTGAAGGTAGTAGCAACAGATCCGGACTCGGACGCCTATTTGGAGTACTCTTTGGTAGAACCTATCAGAGCTGTCGACAAAACCGGCGTAGCTCTTAAGAGCACAACTTCCTACGATTACAAAACGGCATTTCGAATAAATTCCTCAAGTGGTTTAATTACGGTAAATCGCGTATTAGACTATCAAGTGGCTGCGGTAGTGATCTTGACCGTTCAAGTGCAAGATCTAAATGCTATCACTGACAAAGAGAAGCAGATTACAAAGGTCGAGGTGACGACTTACATCCAAGCATACAGCGACGACAATCCAACGTTTACGAATCCAGGATGGTCGCCTAATAATCCCACAATCAGGATTTCTGTGCCAGAGGAACAACCTCTCGGTACCACTTTGTTAATGCTGTCAGCTAAAGAACCTACCACTGGCTATGCTGTTCAGAGATTTGAACTGGTGAGGGAAGATGATGACGAGGGTTACGTGAACGTCGGTGTTCAAAGTGGAAACGTTGTTCTGAGTAAGAGGCTGGATTACGAAGCTCTGAATCAGAAGGTAAATTTCCATTTCAAAGTGTCACTTCAATTCTACAAACCGTAGTTTCCAAAGATGTGTTTTTATAATTGTTTCAATTCTGCAAATTCCAATTTTAAAGCTCATTTTCAATATTCATTCCAGCTGCGTGAATTATATTTCTGAAGCTAATTTTTAGTATTTATTTCAATTCGAAAGACTAGAATTTTAAAGCTAAATCCTTAAACTCTAGAGATAAATTCTAAATGTATAGAACCTAAATTCTAAATTTTCAGTTCATTCGGTTTAAAGTGCGTGCATTAGCACGGGATTACGAGATAACGAGAAAGATGTCCGAGGCCAATGTAATGGTCGAAGTGCAAGATACGAACGACAACAGTCCTACATTTACGCAAAAGGACTACAAAATTTCTGTATTAGAATCAGCAAAGCCTTCGAGGATCGTATTAAACGTCAGAGCCACGGATATGGATAGTTCCAGTACGGAACAGGAAGTTAAAAGAGGATATGGCGAGGTGAGATACTCTTTAGTCGGAGAGAACGCCAACATGTTCGAGGTGGAGCCAATAACTGGAAACATTCAGGTAAATGAATTTATTTATCATACTATTTTACAGACGTTTGTGTGTATGTCAAGCTTATTAATTAATGCATATTAAATTTATTTGTACAGATTGCAACCAATACGTCGCTTGATAGGGAGAAACAGTCGGTTCTTCGTTTCTACGTCGTTGCATCGGACATCCCTCAAGGTGGAGCAGAACAGAGAAGCACCAGAGCTTTGGTCACCGTAGACGTTTTAGACGTCAATGACAACGCCCCGACGTTTGAGCAAGAATCGTACACAGCCGTGATACCTGAGAACGCTCCATCAAGTGTCAATGTAGTGAACATCACGGCCACAGACCCGGACGAAGGAAACGGAGGGATAATTAATTATGAAATCATCGACGAGGGCGAAGCAAGTGGTAAGCAACATCTTGTCACTTTTCGAAGCATCAGTGCTTTTCAGAATATTCAGAACCATGTTTGAAATTAGAATTTATAAAACTGGTGATTCTATTTATTCTATTCTCGTGTTGCACTAATTTCTTTTATTGTTTTTTTTAATTTCGAATAAACAAAATGAAACGTGAAGAGACTCCAAAATTGAATGAAAGTGAAAATTCCAGGACTGTTCGAAATAAATCACACGACCGGGGAAATTTACTCGGCTCGAGAACTGACAGGCAAAGGAAGAACGGAGCCGTACATAATGCGAATCAGAGCACAGGATGGTGGCGAGCCGGAGCTCTACTCCGACGTGATCCTGACTCTGTACATCGGCGATGTAGTGAGCAACGATGGCGTTCCCCTTTTCATCAGACCCACTCTCGAGGAAGTAGCACACGTAGCCGAGAACTCAACGATCGGCAGCCCGGTGTTCCAAGTCGTAGCTTCAGATCCCGACGATCCAAACTTACCCAACGGGAAGATCACTTTCAAATTCCTCGAGGATGGAAACTTCGGTAAAGACGCGAGTGCCTTCAGGATCAACAGCGAGACCGGCTTGATTACCACTAGGAAATTACTGGATCGAGAGACAAAGGACAGTTACACGTTGATACTAGTGGCGCAAGACCTGGGAAGTCCTCCTCAGCAGGCAACCAGGGTTCTCCAAGTGATCGTGAGTGACATCGACGACCACAAGCCTCATTTCAAACGGAACCTGGACAGTCCGCCTGTAGAACTGACGATATTCGAAGAGGAGCCAATTGGATCGAAGGTTGGCGGGATCGAGGCGATTGACGAAGACATCGGAGAGAATGGGATGATCGATTATTCGATCGTCTACGGAAACGAGGCTGGTCTGTTTATCGTAGAGCGCCTGGAGAACAATTCGGCGATCATCAGATCGAACGGTCGTTTGGACAGAGAGACAGCTGATCGACATTTGCTTACTGTTAAGTGTTTCCCTTTCTCGTCGTTCCGAAAGAGCGACGTTGTCCCGAAGCCTTACAATCGACAGGATCCATCCGAGAGACAAGTCCTCGTCAAGGTTCTCGATATCGACGACAACAGGCCAAAGTTTAAGAAAGAGAACGTCACGTTAGGCGTGCGTTTGAACGTTCCAATAGACACGAGTCTGATCACATTGGAAGCCTCTGATGCCGACTCTGACGCTTTTCCGATCAATTATAGCATGGGCAAGGCTTCTTTCACTTCTCTCGTTGATCCGTCCATGTCTAAACGACAGATTCCCTCGCATTTGTCGCTGAACCCTCAGACAGGTGAACTGAGAACGACCGGTTCCATGTCTAGCTACGCGGATGGTTACATGGAGATCATCGTCACAGCCAATAACTCGGTTACCCTTGGCAGAGAGACGAATATCACTCTGAGGATATTTTTGCTACGCGACAGGGACATGTTGAAGTTTGTGTTTTCGAAGCCGCCCGTAGAGGTCAGGAAGACACTGGAGGAATTTGAGAAATCGGTGCAACAAGCTCTGTCACTGCCTATAAACGTCAACGTGTACGACACGCAGTTTTACTCGAAGGAAGATAATTCTCTGGACTTCTCGTCGACCAGCTCCTGCTTCCAAATGGTCGGGAAGGAGGCGTACGATTTGGACGAAATGAAAGCTCTGCTGACTGATCCGAAGAACGAGGAGTTGAAGAAAGTGTACAGGACGTATCACGTGGAAAAGGTGCAGAATTGCGCTGCTGTGGTAGCCAGAGCCGATGCCTCGATGACGCAGATGTGGGTGCTCGCCATCGCGGTTCTCGTCGGCGTTGCTGCGGTGATTTCTAGCTGCGCGCTTTGCTGCATGCACGCGAAGTAAGCTGTAATTTTCTGTAATTTTCTGGGATTTACACTTTTCAATGGAAATGTTATAATATACAATACTGACCAAGTGTTTGAAGTCACTATATGTTCCATAGATCTGCCAAGAATTGAGAAAAGAAAAAAACGTAGAATTCTATTGTAATTTAGAAAAACTCCATAGTACTGAAATTTGTCGTTCATATCTGCATTATTAATAAAAAAAACAAATTAATAATGAAATTCAGAGAAAATATAAAAGGAATTATTACGCAGCGGAATATGGAAAACTAGAGAAACAATTTCAACTAGATAGTTGAAAATGTATGGCAGTAAAAAGCAAAAGAAAAGTGATCTCAAGTTAGTTATAAAAATTAATAGAAAATAGGGAATTACAGAGAGAATCAATTGTGAATGCTCCTTTTTAAGTATTATTATTATATATCATCTTCAATCACACGCAGAGAACAAAATTATAATCAGCTTAAAATTATTCCTTTCAGATACAAACGACATGTGAAACACGCTCGTTTGCGCGACCAGTCTCGACCACCATTGAGTTATGTCTCTTCCGGTCCAGGAATGGTCAGTGCCACGTCACACACGACGCTGGGACCTGGCACCATGGTTTCTCTAGGTCCGCACGAAGGTCCTTACGAATGGGGAGCAGACACAACTCTCTATCATCCGAGTACTCTCGGCTCCAGGACGTAAACGAAATTTACCTGCGATTAAATATTCAGATTCGGAGGAAGAAAACAATTTAGATCGTCTCTGAGAACAGAATGTAAAGGTTTTTGTACGGAGAACGCTTTAAGAGAGACTTCTCTAGAGATTTCGATGACAGACATCGATATTATTTAACGAACATGCCATATTGAGATTTTAATTCCCTAAAAAGTGTAGTTGCAAGAGGAAATATCATAGGAGTAGCAAGTGTGATACGAGATGAAATTAAAGATTAATAGTAGAAACGTTAGGCATAAGCATTCGCGGGAAATGAAATGTTCGATTTGTCGATCAAGAAATATAATTGGAAATCTTTAAGATGAATGTATCCGATTACCATAATCACGAACGTTAATCAAAGGTGCAGTACAACTTTAATACTTGCTCGTAGCTATTCGTTAGCTTCGTTATTTTATTCGTTTATTCGCGTAATTTAAAAATCTAAAGACCACTCAAACGCATTAATTTTGAGACCGGTGAATTTATGCATTTAACGGGAAATAGAAAAATTATGAACAACAGTTTCAAGAACTGACTGTGCAATTTTCTCGGTGGAAACGCTCGGGAAAGGAAACTCGAAGCACATGAATATACTGTATTATATATACATAGCAAGAAAATGAGAATCGTGCAACGAGGTCGACGAATGGTGCTATAATGTAAGATGGAGGAGTTCGTGCCAAAATATAAGGACACGTGTAAAATGCGATACTATTTAGAATTAAGCGGAACTAACTCGCGTGAATTGTATATTTCTTAGATTGTACACTGATCTGACTCACAAACGTTCGCGACGATTGTCATGCAACACGCGTTATTGTAATATACGCAGTTTTTAAGGAGGAAATAAAAAAAAAATGTACATTTGAGTTATATTTATAAAAAAGAAGGAAAAATATCGCTGTGTTTTTTCTCTGTATACCAATTTGAATACAGTTCTCAGCCGACTTTCGAATCGATGTAATTTAAATTTAAAGGCTTACGTACAAAATGTGGTATTCTCGCGTCACATTTAAAAAAGAAAAAGGCAAAATCCTGAACTTTCCAATAGAATTTAATCTACATCGAAGGTTTGAAACAAATCATTCTCGAGTCTTCAAAACAACTAAGTAACGATTTAGGATTTTTGACTCTAATGAGAAATGTTAAAAATTATATTTATGTCGCACTAGATCTTACGAATCTTTTCTCATTTAAAAATTAAAAGTTTAAAAGCTTTTTACGATATTTCACTGTAAGTAATTGCAGAAATCTTGAAGCAGTTAGATGATTTTATAGTCATCACGAAGTTCCTTCATTATAAGACGACGAATACCAATTTTGTAGACCGCGGTCTCTTGGCCTATTAAGCAATCGCATTGAACGAATATCTTGCGATTGCACCAGCAAAGATCTTGAGAGGCTCTCGAACGCCCTCGACGAAAATGTCAAGGCGAGGTGGAGCTCGGTAGATAATTTGATCTAATGGGAAATACGAAGAAACTCTCAAGGAGAGATTGATGACTCCCTAGATCAGACAACATTCGAAGTAATTACGTTTGAGTAATATATTTCAAGAGAAAGAGGATAACGCTAAGTTGCGTGATTTTAATAATTTTCTGCTACAATTACCAAGTGGCCCGCTTGTTTCCTTTAAATCCTTTTTTAAATATTTATTAGTCTTCTCTCTCTTTTCAATTTGTTCAAGAGACACTGTCGTCGAATCGTTTAAATCCCTCGACAGTGTCAATATCTTTCAAATCTTCGTTACTCTCGGTATCGTTCACTTTCATCTCTTTCGAAACGATCGTCGTTCTACAGTCGTCGCGTTCACTTTCCGTGGTAGTTCCTACAATTTTCTGAGCGTCGAGCGCGTATTTCTCGGTGCTCGCGTAATCTTCATCTGCGTTTGATTTATGATTAGGTGGGACGGTGATACTCTCGTCCGGGTTCTCGTTTTTGTTTAATTCCGGATGGTCGTGCGTTTCTTGGAGTTTTTTCATTTCGTCCTTGTCGTCGAGATGAGTCTCTTGATACCGGGTTGTGGCGAAATTGGATCCCTCGTTGTTGATGAATTTTGATTGTTCCACGGCCAAATGCTTGGCTATGGTTTCCAGAGGCGACCATACTTTATCTACGAATTGTTGTCGTTCCTCTGGTGCCATGGATTCCGATTTATGAATAACGTCATATCTGTAAATAAATGTTACATTCATCTTTGTGGCGCTATTAGAATAATTTTATAGATAATATATAGATAATAGATATAATTTTTAATAGATTATAGATAATAATATAATTTTATAGATAATCTTATAATTTGTTAAAACGATTAGGTAAAATAATAATTGAAAGTAGAATAATTTTCTGTTTAAATTGTGCAGCAATTTTATTTAAAACAATTATGATTTCATACATCGCGACGCTTCTAAGATCTTTATTTTCATTGTCTAACAACGTACAGACTGATAACACTTTCTTTTATTAAGAATTCTACTATGTTTCTTTTTCTATTTATTCGGGAACAAATTTTTATACGAAAAAAAACGTTGCTTTTATTGAACATTTTAGCTTTTGGAATAATTGAAAATAAAGACAATACCGCTGTCCAAGATTTGATGCACTTCGTCAGAGAGAATTTTTGTCAAATGATTTCCAAATCGATCCTTTATACCTTGAATTTAGCCGATGACATTTCACGTGATCGTCCTTAACTAGCCATCGAACAACAGTTTCGCTCGATTTTTACACCTGTGTCGCAGGTTCGGTGAAAGTTCTCCGCGAGAGTCTAACGATGTTCCCGGCGATTCTGCAGATAAATCTAACGTGATCGCCATTATAACGATTCCACGATCCATCGGTCGATACGGTTACGAGGAAATCGCGATTCCTCGCGAATAAATCTTGCCGCCGCGAAAGCGATTCTAGATCATTATGTAATCGAGGGTAGGCAAAATTGTCTTCGACAGAGAGGCACGTAGGCGAAAAATTTGCATGCGGGGAATTTTTTTTACGTCATCGTCGAACTCGAAATATGTAAATTTTATTTTATATACCTTTCGTTAAAATGGAATCGTAATTTATTTTGCAACGGCTGTTTAAGGAAAGATATCGTTTCAGGGAACAAAGAACAGAATGAGAAGATTCTTTCCAGTTGAAGGAATATTTTTATGCAGATGACAAATTATGGAGTATCGCCAACGATCTCAACTCGAACTTGACAAAAAATTTATTAAAAGTCAGAGACACGGTCGAATTTAAAATGAAGGAACGTGATGTTTAAGCGTTTCGGAATTTTACCTGCTCATCTTGTTCTTCTTTCTCGGGTACAGATTCAAGTGAAATATCATCTGTTGTCTCTCTTCTTCGTCTGTCATTGCTTGCGCAGACATCCCTGTCAAGGACTGCGGGGATGGAGAATAAAACTTCGGCCCTCTGTTGTGCTGAATCGGTCTTCTCAGCTCGTAATCGTCCATAACCACTTGTTTCGGTCGATTCCCTTTTTTATGTTGCTCCGTAACGTCGGTGATAGGATAAATGTCCAACATGACGCTGAACGGCTGTGGTTTTCGTTTCTTCGCGTAATTACTTGGATAGGACGTGGGATTTTCGTACATGGATTCCATCGATGTTGGTTTGTAATAACTCGACGGCCGTCCGTAGGCATCATAATTGTACCTGTGAAGACCCATCGGTGAAAATCTGGAAAATCGCGTTCATCCAGTATTTGAGAAAATCCTTATTCAAAAGAATTGGTCTTTTAAATATATAACACTTTCAAAATTATATCAATTATAACAATTTATTCGCATTTATAGTAGTTTCTATCAAAGAAATTTTTTTATGATATATTTAAATCCACGCCCAACGACAACTTCAACAATTTTATTATCACAATAAATTTAGAATATTCGGCAAAGAATATTCGATATTTCGATATATACCGTGTTTGGTTAGAAAAAATGGCTGGATGGAGACAAGAAGGACACATTAATTTATAAATATACGAATAACCAGTAATCTCCAGCTAATCAGATGATTCTATTATCCTAACGAAAGAAACGTATGTAAATTCCTTCCGCCAGCCTGACTTTCTAACCATCAACAATGCGCACATTCTTTTCCTACAGACCTAACGTTAGACGTGGCCAGCAAATTCACGTCCGCCGGATGTTTCGGCTTGTACTGATAAAACGGATCTTCGTTCATCGAGTAAGAACCCTCATCCTCTTCCGATCTATCGCTGTTGGACATCATCTCCCCTGCGCCAGGATACAAATCATATTTCTTCGGGTTCACGTACACGCCAGTGAACTTGATGCCTCTGTTCGACAAGTCGGCGTCGTTGGTCAGGTACTTGATGATATCTTGAATGTTTCTGGAGGCGTGTGAGTATCTGTACTGAGTGAGTTGAGGGTATCGCGGACGTTTGAAGGCAGTCGGATGCGGTGTCTTCAGTTCCCAATGAAAAGGTGCTGGTCGATTCTCCTCCGAACTCTCGTCTTCTTCTAACTCTGGATGCTTGTGCCTGTTGAATCACAGTACTCTCAGATACTTTTCGCACAGACTCTGAGCACAATCAGTTTCGTTATTGCCAAAGATTTACATCGGGAAAATGCGACTGAACGAAATTGAAACTTATTTATTAACAATTGGATCGCACGTTCGATACGGGCAATGTTCATTAAGTAAGAACAAGGTAATAGAATTACGCTCGGAGGGAAAATGAAGCGTTTTCTTTCTCGAAGAGTAGAAAGTGTTTCTCGAGGATTTACATACTCGTAGATTGTAACGTTGATTTATTACCGGCTTCAAGCACGGCCAGGGAACACTGCGTACTGATATAATGAAATTGAGATGATCAGTTCATGTAAATTCGAGTCGAACATGTGTCACAGGTGTGCGTAACGTTACAGTGAGAACTCATTAACTTTTAAACGAAGGAAGAAAAACGATGAATATAATTAATTGGCTGGTTGAGGCCCAGTAATGGATTTTGCAACCGTTATATAACAGCTTATGCATTAATGTCATAATTCTCTTTCATCGTGAAGAAAGATCTCCGACTTCGTGGTCGAAAATCGAAGCGTATCTCTACATAAATTACTTTCATAAATCATTCGTGATGTCTTCAGTAACAGTAGAGAAATTGTAATGGTTTATCGCGCGTTTACGTCGTTATAAAAGAGATCGTTTCGAGATCGGGGAAAGAGTCAAACGACGACTCACCTTTGTCTCACGCGATAAACAATCGCATGATTATCGAACAACTGTTTCCCTTCTGCCGGCTCGTCCACCTTGCTCTCCGCGGATTTCAGCACTCTTCTCCTCAGCTTGAAGTTATCCAGGTTCTGCGACTTGAGCTCCGCGTCAGCCACTTTCCGATCGGACGTTTCATCGTACGGGAACAGATTCCCATCATTGTCTAAACGATCTTGAATGTAAGTGGAACTAATTCTATTCACCTCTGGCGAAACGGTCGAGTTGAACAACTTTTTCGTAAAGTTCGAAGGTTTCCTAAGAGCATTTTGCAAGATGTACATATGCTTCGTCTCCTGGTTCAATTTGCTGTTCACCGACGAGGCCGACGTGAAGTCGTACAAGAATATCCCGACCTGCGGGACGAGAATGAGAATGGAATTACTTTTCCTCGCGAGTAAATTCAACACTTTGTTTCAATTAATTTCTTTCCTAGATTCTCCTTTCTTCAGATTTCTTCCAAGTTTCCTCAAACTTGAAAAGCATATTACACGTACAGTCCCGGAAAAGATATTTCAATTTGTATCAGAAGGAAAATCAAATTTCACGCGATTTGTACTAAATTTAAATTTTGTCTCGTGGAACGTAGAAGCTGGCAGGCTAAATCGTTCCAACCTAGAACGAGGGAGAGGAAGAAGTCAGATTTGCGTTAAATTTCAATTAATCAATTCAATTGTACACCACGGAATTTTCATTAGATTTTCTTCCAACGTAAATGGTATTTGAAAGTATGCTTCTCTGGTTCGAATCGAGTCGGGGCGTTGCTGGCAGGAGGCCGCGTTGTTTCTCCTCCGCGGTGATCTCGTTCGTTCATTAAGCCTAAATGAAACCCGTTCTCGCGGTAGCGCGCGTTAATTCGTGCCAAAACACAGTTAACGCTCTATATGTGAAGCACGCAGAAATATTCCTCGAGACGCGCTTGGCTCGCCATGCGTGCGAACACACCGTGGCGAGATTCGCGGTGAAATTGTGATTTTTAACTTTGCTACCGTGCCCTGTTGCATTAATCATGGGAGAAAACCCGCGTGGATTGTAATTGCGTCCATTGTTCGTCACAATGGCGCCTCATTAAAGCGTCGAGCGACAAAAACTTTACTTTGAACGAAACGTTTGTCACTGCAAACTTAAACGTTCACTTCCCCCCCTCTCGCCACAATATTCTGATTAAACGTGTGTATCCATCAATTGTAACTTGATTGCGGATATTTCTGCCAATTTTGAAATGTGGAGAGTTATAAGTCGATTGGGGAGTTTCAGATTTTTGTAGATATAATTTAAAAAGTGAAAAATAGAAATAAATAAATTTTTATCCGATAGATGTTACAAGAAATATTTTAGACTTTTAGATTTCTGAAGTATCCGATAAAATTCTGTCTTTTCAAATTATTTATAAATGCATAAATATCAGTCTTTCTCTAATTACGACAAATACCACTTTATATAATTATGCGTACCGCGTATTTAATTTTCTCGTATATAAACAGCCAGTATTTATACGTATTCCTGTTTCTGATAATTATTAAATAACACCAAGAAAATTTCACTTCAAATATCTCATTATATACGTGTTAAAAATATTGTTACGTGTTATTTAGACATTATTTTACAAATGCATTATGAATGCACAAGCATTCGCGGTCCAATTATAATGCAAATCTGGAATTAAATCGAAACGGACTAGAAAATGAGTTTTCTACTGAACCAATTAGAAAACCGCATTTGCAATTGAACCAATTGCTAGGTACGAATGCACGAAGCGTTGGTTACGGAATTATCATTAGCGAGTAGTTTGCTGCTCGTTAAAAATTTATCGTACGTGTAGTAGTATCGTAGCGTGCACGTGGCAGCGTTTGAACGTAATGTAACTGTTAATGATCGATACGTAATGTTTCTCGATCACGCGGATCCCAGTCATTGAACTTGCTCGATGTGGCAACAGGAACGCGTGCGATGAACGAAATGATGTCTCGCGAGATGAGTGGCTTTTGTAACGCAAGTGCGCAAAAGAAACTGGTCCTCTTCAAAGGAAATAACGCAATATGTAGGTGAGTACTGTGCAAATGTTTGCATAGAAAGCGTGTGCAATGCTAATAGATCGTGTTGTCATGTTTTTCTCTATATACAATGGGTCATTCGATTGAGAATGCAACAGTTTTTTGAAACAAAGCAACAGGAACAAAACAAAAAGACGACTGAAGAAATTAATTTTTTTATATCGAACATTTTTCAGATTGTTTGGAAAAACTTCTTTGTTAGTTTCTCTGGAAAGGGAATATAATATATTGAAATTGGGACTAATTTTGTTGGAAAGATAAACATTATAGATAATTTGTTAACAATTTGTTTGAGCGCGGCACGATTGAGGGATTGATAGGAAAGTTAAGTAAAGTATTAATAAGATATCTATTGACAGTATTAAGTACTTACTAATACCACCGCCACTACGACCATAACTCCAATCGCAATTTTCCTTGTAACGGAACTGTATCGACTTCTATGGTATCGATCACCGTGGTCAGAATAAAGTCCAAGCTGAGACGTGCTGATTGCAGTTCTTCTTCCCGTTTCGAGCATGTCCTCTCTTCGCAACTATCGATTTTGTCCTTTGTGATTACTCATTCGCGCCGCATGACATTTTCAGAGTCGATCGATCGATCCTCTTGCACACTCAGGAAATTTTCAACACGCGATCACGATCTTTATTTAGCGTAAAGCGGAAGTAATAAAAATATAAATAAAACGTGAGAAATTGGTGTCTCAGTGCTAAAAACGAAACAATATTCGTAATAGCAACGAAAATTGACGCGAGCGTTTTAACAATTTCTAATAACAAAGTAATTTTGCAAATCCTGTGTCGCAAGAATGCGAGACAGTATTCTTTCGAAGCTCTATATACTACTAACGAACAGTCATTTCTCGCAACGGAGTTTTCACTGGTCAGATTCTATCACGAACGTAGAAAATTTCTTTGTACGTGGGGGAGGCTTGTTATGGTAGTAGGAGATAGGTTATGGGCTACTTACTACGCAACGAGATTCGAGTCAAATATTATTGCACGATACACAGAGAGAATGTCAATGTCACGGTGTTATGCTCACTGGCTAAGCACATCAGCTATTATCGTCATTCCGTCATGGTTCACGCGGAAGGAAAGTCACTGCAATTACGGTTACAATGAAAATTGGCGTGACGTGAAACAACTCTCGATTGATTGCGACAGCAAATCCATTTTCGATTTGAAATGTTTTTCTTTTCTTTTTTAACGACCGTTTCTCTGGATCATAGAATGCATTTCATAATCGTGAGTTAATATTCATGAGGGAAGAGAATGTCGAAGATGAGTCTCATGACCCTCTGGCGAATCAGGTGTACTTCTCTCTCGATTGTCAGAAAATGTTACGTTGAAAAGATCAAATAATGTGACAGAAACATTAATCATATGTCACGACCGAATTCGATCCTTTCCAATCATACATGAAATGAAACACGGTATGGCACTGTTTATACAAATTTTTTTTTATTCCTTCTATAGTATGCGTGTGTTAGATGTACAGGGTGCATCTATTTCATCTTCGTAGTAATTTTCTTTTTTCCATACAAATGTAACACAGCATTCATCGGCTTTATTTATAAATCAATTATTACTCGTTTCAATAGGAAACTAACTGTTTCACAAGTTCGTTCGAAGCAACTGTTACACTAGCAATAGTTACCGCTCTAGATACACGAATTTGACAAGAGTAACTGGATATGGTATATACAGTTATTTTATCGCTTTATTTTTACCGATTGCTTATTGTTTCTCATGACGATCCATAAATAGCATTTTACACTATACATATAAAAATTACAAAAAGAGAACGAAAAAAAGTAATTTGCGACTGTCAGATCAACTAAATTGCCCCACTTCATCGCACGAAGGGTGGTAATTCCAGTGGGTTCTCTGGTATGGGGTAGAAATAACCATCAGGCCTCTTCGTGGTTGGTGGTAGAGTTGGTGGTGGAGCAGGTTCACCCGTCGGTGGTGGAGTATAGATAGTCGAAGTGGGTTCGATGGTGTAAATTGGCGTAGGTGGAGACGGTGGTGTTACCGTGACGCGTGGCGTAGAGGGAGTAGAGGGTGGTAGATACGGTGGAGGTCGCGTACTTGGTATTTCTGGGGAAGGTTGGTAGGACGAAGGTTGGTAAGGTGTTGTGAACCTTGATGTAAGCGGAGTCCTATCTGTTGTAATTACACTTGAAGTCGGGTAAAAAGTAGCTGGAGTCCTATGTGTTGTAATTACACTCGGTGTTGGGTAAACGGTAGACGGAGTTCTATGTGTCGTAACTATACTCGGTCTCGTAAAAATTCCGGTAGTAGATTGTTCTGGTGGTAAATATGAGCTGCCTTGCGTTGATGGCCTAGGATAAGGAGATGGAGTTCTTGGTGGAACAGGTACGTATGGTGGTGGAGTTGGAGGTCTTGGTGGATGAGGAGGAGATGGAGGTACGTATGGTGGTGGAGTTGGCGGTCTTGGTGGTTGTGGAGCCGGAGGTACGTATGGCGGTAGAGTTGGAGGTCTTGGTGGTTGTGGAGCCGGAGGTACGTATGGTGGTGGAGTTGGCGGTCTTGGTGGTTGTGGAGCCGGAGGTACGTATGG